AGACACTTTTTAAAAACAAACCAGACTGCCCAATATTAAAAAATCTCTTTCAAGAAGAGTAGTGTATTTTCTGAAAATTAAGTTAAGCTGCAGAATGAAGCAGATGGAAATCAAGAAGGTACTAACTGGAAGAACAGTTTATAAAAAGGCATGAGGTGACTCACTAAGCACCAACCTATTAGTGAATGGACAAGCACCAGAAATATATTGACATGGTAAATATAGTCTGAGGAAGTGGACTTGTCCATGAAAGCTCACATTAAAATATAGCAGTTAGTCTTTAAGGTGCCAAAACATTTTTGTCTTCTTTATTTTTATTTATTTATTGTTTTGTTTTTGCCTCATAGTACACTGGTGCCTTGACTTACAAACATCCCAACATACGACCATTTCAAGTTACTACCAGCTCCGGCCGCAAAATTTGGTTCTACTTGTGACTGGAGCTTCGAGTTACAACCAGAAAAAGGCAGGGAATTGAAATTGCTAACCGTTGGTGGTGAAGAGGCTGCTTCTTTGTAGCTCTTTTGCCCCAGCAGTTAGAGTGACTGCGATCGGAGGACGCTTTGGACTGCCTAGTAAGGTAATGGGTCTTGCAGGGTTTGTTTGCTTTTTGGGTTTGTTTTTTTCCCATTTCCAATGGGTCTTGCACGGTTTGTTTGCTTGTTTGCTTTGCTTTTTCTTGCATTTCCAATGGATTTTGCACGGTTTACTTGCTCTCTGCTTTGCTTCTTTTGCATTTCTGAAGGGTCTTGCACTGTTTGTTTGCTTTTCTTTCTTTCTTTTCCTTTAGCTGGAATGGATTAATCGCGTTTCTGATGGGTCTTGCAGTGGTGTTATTTGGTGATTTTTTTCCCTTCGGCTGGAATGATTAATTGTATTTCAATGCATTCCTATGAAAATGGTGCCTCGACTTACGACCATTTCGAGTTACGACCGGAGTTCCGGAACCAATTAAGTTCGTAAGTTGAGGCACCACTGTATATGTTAGCACAGACCTACATGGCTACCTCTTTTAAAAATACACTACATTTTTGCATAGGTAGAGCCAAGCAGAGCCATACAGAAATGAATATTGGTAACAGAATTTTGTTACAAAAACATCTCCAGTGATCCTATCTTCACAATCACCTTATCTGGCAACAAGCTAGCGTAATTTCTTATGACTGACTTGGTACACAAATAAATAAATAATAAAAATGGTCTGCTTTTTTAGTGTTTCTTTGCAAGGAAGGACTACGTTCTAATCTTGTTGTTTTAGTTCCCTTTTCTGTATCTTTGCCTCTCTGCCAAAACTGTTTTGGTCCACAGTAAGGAGAAAAGGACATAACATTCCAAATATGCATACACCAATAGTTCTCTAATGCTATTTGCTGTTTTTAACTGTTAATCCCTTTTCAAAGTCCTTCACAACCAAGGTGACATTTTAAATAAGCCTTCCACACTATGATGCCACTAAATGTTTCCTGGATAGGTACAGGTAAAGGTTCCCCTTGACAATTTTTGTCCAGGCATGTTCGACTCTAGGGGGCTGTGCTCATCCCCGTATCCAAGCCATAGATCCAGCGTTTTGTCCAAAGACAATCTTCTGTGGTCACATGGCCAGTGTGACTTAGACACGGAACGCTGTTACCCTCAAAATGGCTCTCCCCCCTCGCAGGGAGCAGGGACCTATTGTCATGGTCCGCCCTCGAAGGCTACTGGATCCAGTTGGATTCCAGGACGCCATGAAAGGTGTTACGGCTGAACTGGCTGGCGCTCTTGTCGAGGCTCTGGTTGACGGCAGGTTCACCGCCACAGCTAGGGCAGTAGATACGATCGCTCCTAAAGGCCCTCTCCAGCGCAGTGACTGCCCGGCACCCTGGTTTAACCAGGATCTCTGGGCGTTGAAGCAGGTCTGGAGACGGATAGAGCGCAAATGGAGAAAGGACCCAACGTATTATAATTGGATAGCTGTCAAGGTCGCTACTAACCTTTACCTGGCTAATCCATATGAGTCAACTCAAAATCATTATTCCAACTTGTGTGGGGATTCTCCCATGGGAAGCCCTTGCGTCCAGGGTTACTAGAACTGGAGATAGAGGGACTGAGCTAGAACACTCCCTCTGCTCAAATATTTACTGTACTAGTGAACTAATGACTGAACAGAGCACTGGTAGAAGAAGCATCAGACTGCCTTTGGACTGGGCAGGGGGAAAGGACCCTTTCACATATACAGTATAATTTATTTATTTATTTATTTATTTATTTATTTTATTTTATTTTATTTTATTTTATTTTATTTTATTTTA